AGCTATACAATTAATCAATTGAACAATTTAAAAGCAACATTTTAAGAAACTAAGACTGACATACTATGAAATATATATAATAAATCCATATACAATGTTGTCTAGACTTAATCCTAGAAACTGGTGTCACAAGTACATGAGCTACTGGATTACTACAAACACAGTCTGAAATGAAATACAATTGTCTGATACAAAATAAGCAGTAATATAAATAGGAAGGCGATTTCAGGGTCGCTGAGTAGCTCTACCTCAAGTCTCTTGAAAGGACGGGTTCAAGCAATCTCCGCTACGCGCCGCTGGACCAATATTAGGATCTGCACAAGAAGTGTAGAAGTATAGTATGAGTACAACCGACCCCATGTATTCTATAAGTGCCGAGCCTAATCTCGACGAAGTTGTGACGAGGCTTTGATAAGACGCTTACTATAAACCTGTGCGAATATAAGCAGAAAAGCGATAACGAAGTAGAGCGATAGCTAATTAACATGATAACCGAAATAAGAATAACGACAGAGGCCCCCAAAATATCACCACTTCTCAGTCTCACAATACAATAAGGTAACGGAAACCAACAACCAAAATATAACTATANATATATATAGATCGGAATGCACGCCGCAACACTATATTATATATGTGGATTTGGTTACACGCCGCAATAGTATTATATATATGGTGGGAGGGGGGGAGATCGGATTGCACGTTGCAACAATATATTATATATGTGGATTGGGTTGCACGCTGCAACAATATATTATATATGTGGATCGGGTTGCACGCCGTAACAATATATATATATATATATATAAAATATACTATTACGGCGTGTAACCAAATCCACATATATAATATAGTGTTGCGGCATGTAATCCGATTCATATATATAATAATAATAACTACCGACTACGACGTATCTCCCAACGTATAAAAAAAAGGGAGCTAACACACATAAACTCTCTAAGACAATCCAATAAAACATATTAAAGTAAGATAAGAAGTAAGTAAAGGCAATTAATCAAGTAAATGCATGAGACGAGTAATAACATCTATCTAATAACATGTAAAGTATAGAACAAGTAAAGATGGACAATAAAAAAAAGGCATGAATACATGAAAGCATGTAGCAAATAGAGGCATGTATTTAACAAGTAGAGACATGTAGTGATTAAGGCATGTAACAAATAATAACATGCAATAAATGAAGGCATGATATAATTGAAGACATGCAATTAAGTAGTCCACCCCACATGCTTAAACCCATGACAACGCATATACACTCGTCACCTTGCATATACACCGTCCCCACACATAAATCACGTAGCAAATAGACCTATCAAGTCTTAATTCTCTCAGGTCAAGGTTAACCATGACACTTACCTCTTTCCGAAAATAGGTCCATAATCCAACGCGTCTTTTCCTTTAGAACAAGCCTCTAAATCAATCGAATCTAGTCAAATATTATTCAAAAACAACAAAACAAGATTTAAAAACTACCCTTGTACGATAAAGGCTCAATCTTTAACATAATTGAAAAAGTCAAAAAAAGTCAAACCGGACCCACGCGGTCAAAATCCGAGATTAAGATCAAATTTCGATTACCCCATTCATCCTCCGAGCCCGGATATGTGATTTATTTCGAAATCCAACCTCAATTCGAGGTCTAAATCTCCATTTACAAAATTTCTAAATTCTATCCAAAACTCCCAATTTTTACTTTGAAATTCATAGATTTGATGATAAAATTCATGAAAAAGTAATTGAAATTGATTGAAAACAAGTTAAAGTTGCTTACCAATGAATTTGGAAAGAAATTACTCTTCAAAAATCGCCTATATGGAGTTTAGGATTCAACAATGGCGTAAAATAAGCTAAGTCTCGAAATCCCAACATTTTACCCAGCTGCAAATGTCGCAATTATGAACTCTTGTTCGCAATTACGACCATCGCAAAAGCAAACCACTGATCGCAAATGCAATCAGAGTCCCAACCACACAGTTGTCGCAAATGTCGCATTTGCGAAGGCCCTCCAGATCGCAAATGCGGACCCAGGCATCGCAAAAGCGAAGCAACGTCCAGCCTTCCAGTGTCGCAAATGTGAACCCCGTCCAGCTCGCAACTGCGACGCTTTCTTTGCAAAAGCGAAGTCCTAGCCCCCAACTCATTTTTGCATTTGCGAGCTTGATATCGCAAATGCGAGGCTCGCAATTGCGATCAGGTCTTCGCAGATGCGAGACCTGCAAGTTCAACACACCAGATTTTTAACAGTGGTCCAAAATATTCCAAAACACATCCGAAACCCACTCGAACCCTCGGGGCACCAATCCGAACATTTACACATGTGTAATAACATAATGCAAACTCGCTTACTATCTCAAATAATTAAAATAACATCAATTATCAAGAATCGACCATCAAAACTCGAAATATCATACGAACCTACCGGAATCCCAACCAAACATGCGTACAAGCCCAAAAATATCATACGAACCTACCAGAATCGTCAAAATACCGATCAGAAGTTGTTTAGCAAAAACATTGACCACTGTCAACTCTAACCTCATTTTAAGTCAAAAATCACATTTTCTTTTTTATTCTGTTTAGTTAGAGGAAACCTACGTTCCTCTCATATATTTTACTTGTCCAAATCACTAGGCCTAATCCCCAGCCACTTGATATCCAAACTAGTCAAAATAGTCGATCCATTAAAATACTTAAACCCAAGAGGATCACTATCCACCAACGCCAAAATAGGGAAAAATTTTAAAAATAGCCAGATTTACAAGTGGTAATTGAAAAATAACCACAGTTTCAAAAGTAATCAAAATTTAGCCACTTTTCATGTAAAGATAAATCTGAACGAAAACACTGTTTAAAATCCGAAAAATATTCCAGCATAATATACTGGAGTTCCGATATAATATACCGATCCAGCATAATATGCTGGAAGTTCATACACATGTACTCCAATCTCCCGTATATTATGTTGGAACTTTCCGCGTGTTGGAGTTCCAGCATAATATGCTGGAAGTTCATACATAGATGCACCAATCTCCAGTATATTATGCTGAATCAGTCCGTATTGCAGCAAAATAATAGCTACTTTTTAATGAATTTTCAAACGGTGGCTATTTTTGAATTACCAGTTCAAAAACTGACTAGCTCGCGCTACTTTTATCCAAAATAGGCAAATTCAGCTCATCTTCATCTTCCTAAAAAACAATTGGTTTCCACATCTAGTTTTCCCTTTACAATATAACAAGTATACAAGGAAATCTATTATAAAACCGATCTTCAGCCAACCTCACATAAGCGGCATTCTTTTCAACCGACAGAATTATAATGCATCACTCTCCATATTCTCAACCCTATCATTAATCCGAGGAACACATACTCCTAAAGTTCCATTTGCAAAATTAACCGTATTACCATCTGCGGTATAAGTTAAGCTGCCAACAATCAACCCATTCAATTGAGGGGAAGGGACGATGGAGAGGCCAACGTCGGCGAGGGTTAGGGTTTCGGAAGTGGAGGCGGCAACGGAGGCCTTGAGGGTTTCAAGGATGACGGAGTCAGGTTCGAGTTTGGATTCCATCAAGTCGAAAATGGAATCGCCGTTGTTTGCTCGCCGGACCGACGTTTGACGAGTGGATTTGAAGAAAATGATACAACTGGTTGCAGGTTAAGGAGTAAAAAGAGGGCAAAGGAGAGGAGACATTCATAACACCACTGTGAGTGGCGAAAATTTGATTTTTTTTTTTGTTCGAAAAAACAACCAACAGAAACAAAGTTTGAAACACTAAAAAGACGAAAATGCACAAAAAAAAAAAAGGTTTCAAACTATAAATATCGAGATACAACAACTCTATTTTCTTCAGGTCAAACAAATTTTTGTAGCATGGAGATCAAAAGTAAAATAATGAGATGAATGGGTAGTGTATTATATCAGCAATAGTAATATAGTCAATAATTCTTTTTTTTTTTCGTGATTGTTTATATACATTGACGGAGCCAGGATTTGTATTAAGTGAGTCAAAATATAAAAAAATAAACTCGTCAAGAAATTAAGGGTATCATTATATAGTATATATACATATTTTAAAAAAAATTACCAAGTTAAACAATACCTTTTGAATTATTAATTATTGTGACTACAATATTTTTTATGTAATTTTTAAATATGTAAATTTTATTTAAAAAATTTAAAGATTCGTCAAAATCATAATCAAAATTTAACTATCGAAATCCGAACAATGCCAAATAAATTGGGACCCAGGAAGTTATATTACAGTATGGTCAATGTTATCATGTGAAAAAAAAAACCTAAAATTTAAATCCGACTGTCAAAAGATCTAGCTCTTCAGCAATTTACTGTAATGGAGTTGGATTTAAAATTCAACCAGTGTTTAATTACATTAGGAGATAGTACGAGGTTTTTGATTTCATTCTATTCTAAGCACGCAAAGTATTTGCATTCATACACACATAGGAATTATCCGAGAAGATGAATATTTTGTTTTTTCTCCCCCTTTAATTTTTGCTTTAGTCGTGTTGGGCTTTAAAGTGCTTACTGCAATTGTAACGGTGGTTAAAGAAATAAAAAAAGAACTTCTCTTTGGCTGCAGTACTATAACTTCACTTCCAAGTTCATTCAAAGGCACCAGTGAATTTTCGGTAAGCAGTATCAATATTTGAAAAAACGATCGAATAAATAAATCACTATAATAACAAGTGACGTCATTTTTTATATTTATACCTAATATTTTTATTTTGTATTACTATCTATATATACATATTTAATAAAAATTTTGACGAAACGGTGTCACGTGACACCACTCGTCGTAAGGTATATTCGCCCACGAGTGACGAGCCATTACCGACTGTCTGATGCTTCTAGAGTTTGCTCATATCGAATTGTCCAAAAGCTCAAAGAAAATATCAAAGATTGTATGTATATGTTCATATTTCAGTACCATATATTGTTTCAGAATACACACATGTGCTAGTTCATAAAATAATGACTATTGAGGATAAAAAGCTTTGCTACTATCTTCATTGTCTCAACAAAATTTTGATGAAATGCTTGTGCTAGTTCAGCTTCTTCTATCCTAACTTGCAATCACTAATTACGCATTAATTACCTCATTTATTGTGGAGGGAGACCCTTGTCTTGTCTGAAGATCGTATAAAATTTACGTAAACACCAACTAAATCTCAGAAGAAGACTGGACGAGCATTAGGAGATGTTTAGGTTGAGTTTTGAACCATATTTTCCTGAAGCAATGTGAGTAAAAAATGTGATCACATCTGCTATGGCGGGACGTTTGGTAGGTTGCTCTTGAACACACATTCCTGCGACTGTAAGAGCTTGTTGTAAACCTTTTGCTGGATAATTGCCTTGAAGCGTTGGATCTGCCATTTCTGAGAATTTCTGATCTTTTATCAAGTGTCTTGCCTAACATGCAAAATATCAATGTGTACATCAGAAAACTAAAAGTAGCACAAATTTGTATAGCAGAAACCAAGTTGGTTAATTAAAAACAATTCGTTCTTATAGATATGTTGCTCAAACTCTCCAGAAATACAGTTGCACCTGTGTCAAATCTTCCAAATATGCACTACTTTTGAAGGACTCGACACATGCATTTTGGAGGATTCGATACGTACTCAACGACATTTTTAAAGGAAAAAGACAATCATCCCATTGAAGTTTTGAGGATTATTATAAGAGCAAAAATATCTTACCCATTCAACCAGATTGTACTCTTCTCCATCTGTTGAATTTTCTATTGCTTTTCTCCCAGTAAGGATCTCCAGAAGGACAACTCCAAAGCTGTAAATATCGGACTTTACACTCAACTCACTGGTCATGACATACTCAGGTGCACTATACCCAATCGTACCCTCGAATTTCACATGTACATGGCGTTTGCTTCCCATAGGTCCTAGTTTGGCCAAGCTAAAACCAGATAGCTTGGCTTGATATCCCTCATCAAGCAAGATGTTAGAGCAGTTGATATTACGGTGTATTACAGGTGGCTGTGCTATATCATGTAAGAATTCCAATCCCTTTGCTACTTCAATGGCAATTTTCATTCTAGTGTCCCAATCAAGTTGTTTCTTACCAGGTGAAGGATCTGCACATAAATCAATAAATTTTAAAACCATATCTTTATCTAAAATAGGACGGGGAGCCTTGGCGTAACCGGTAAAGTTGCTGTCATGTGACCAGGAGGTCAGGGATTCGAGCCGTGGAAACAGCTTCTTGCAGAAATGCAGGGTAAAGCTACGTCTATTGTGGTCCGGCTCATCCCGGACCCCGGGCATAGCGGGAGCTTAGTACACCGGGCTGCCCTATTATCTTTATCTGAAGTAGTGAAAATTTACCATGAAGATAGTCTTTCAATGATCCTAGCGGCATGTAATTGTAAACCAGAAGTCTATGATCTCCGTCAGCACAGTAGCCGATTAGATTTACAATATTAGGATGGTGTAACAGATTTAGCATCAGCACTTCAACAAGAAATTTCCTGCTGCCATTTTGATCAACCTGCTTGATTGCAACAACCTGCACTAAATGAAGGGTCAACATTCAAATCAATGAAGCCTATTCTACAAAGAAATAACTGAATTAACAAGTGATCCTGGTGAACTAAAGTATTAACTTACTCTGTTCCATCCAATTGTTAAGGGGAAAATCATGGTAAAGTGCATCATAGAAGCCAAATAGCCCCACACAGCTCAGCTATGTCAGAATCTACTACTTTTTGTTTGTATCCTGTGCACGGGTATAACTTTGTTCTTAAAAATATTTTTCGTTGGAAAATTACACTATGCAAATAGGGTAAGAACCATTTTTTTTGTTACACGTGAGCTATTGAATTCCCTTGACATGAAGAAAAAGTTTAAGTATTGTAGTGAAGGGGGTTCAAAAGTTGCTTTAGATCATAGGTTTAAACCCCAACTGTAATATCCTAAAAGTTTTTTGAATCCCCTTTTATAAATTTCTGATTCCACCACTGCTTTGAGCTCAGCGAGGTAAAGATTGTAAAGAAACGAAAAACATAAAAACATAAAAACTTGAGAGACAAGTCTGACAAAGGAGTTTACAAATTCATCAAGGCTGAGAATGTTATTAATTCTAAGGATTAAGATATTTACGAAAAAACACTACTTTACCTGTTCGTCAAGGTGCCCCTTGTATACTCTTCTACTGCTTCCTTCTCCTAGAAGACAATCATCTCGAAAGTTTCTGGTTACATTGGCTAATTCCTCGAATGTAAAAGTCTTTGCAACAATGTTACTGGATCCTGCAATATCAACAGACTCCATAAGGTATATTATTGAGTTCTTAGCCTAATGTGACAAAGGGTTTTAACATGTCAAGAGTAGAAATACTAACAAAATGTCAAAATGACAACTATTTTCAGCATTCAGCTTCTCATTGGTCCAATTGTTGGAAGAAAGGTTACCTCTGAATGTGACATTTATCTTCCCTTTACTTTTTTGAACAGGTCCAACCGGTCCACTATTCCAAATTAGTCAAATCACAAATAGTGGTAGAGCCAAGAATCCTAACAAGGAAATTCAAGAAAATGCAAAAGTGCTATACAAAGAAGCTTCCCTTATTTTAATTGGATTAAACAATGTATATTTAACGTACTTACACAGTATAATTTAATACTAAGGGGATTCAATTGAACCATCTTCTTACTATCAGCTAAGACAATGGCCCCAAATTCTCATAAGACATACGTAGGGGCTTTAACATACAATTGTCATTAAAAACATTTTTTTTAATCTCTGATGCTTCCGGTTCCGGAAAAAGGGATAGTTTTTTTAATCTCTGATGCTTCTGCTTCGTATTTATAGGTCGCTGCCCTAGGAATTGAGCCGCTATCCAATTAATTGCTATATACTTTTCTTTTATTTCCTCGAATTCGTACTCCTCCGACCATCCCTTGGAGAAGAATCTCTTGACTTAGGAACACTTGAATCTATTCTTTCTGTGTCCCACATCCATTTATGTTAAAATATCTGCCTATTACTCGGTGAAAGAAAATGCTACACATGGATCAAAAAAGGAAAGCTAGTGCCTCGTCAAAAAAAATTAATTCGTCGAGTAAAGGCTTTTGCCCAAGATATTGGTTTTATGCGGGAAAGAAAGAAGAAAAAACAAAAAGGAGAATAAATTTAAATATGTAGGATTATTATATACCAGAAATGGTTTTTCTCTTCTTTGTCGTGTTCTTAAACAGTCCAGTGCATGACAAGCAATTCGCTAGCTTTGGACATAAATTTAATTGAAACTTGAAAAAAAAAATTAAATTGTGTTGAACAATAATTTTTGAAAGTTGAAGTTGTGTTTGTATATGTATTTTATTTGAAGAAAAATTAAAATTTTGTGAGCGGAAGAAAAAAATTTCATCACAGTTTTTGGGAACTTGAAAAATTTTGAAGTTATTTTTCCCAAAACATGATCATATTTCATAAACAAATAATATTTTTAAAAAAAAATTAAAAAGATAAAGCCAAAATCTATGACCAAACGGGAGCGAATCATCTCAAGAAAAAAAAATGAGAAAAAGAGCGGCAAATAAAAAAGGAAAAAAGTACAGATTAATGCTTTTGCGTGGCAAATTAATAAATCATCGTCGTGTACTTTTTTTTTTCAATTTAGGTGTCAATCGTCAACGTCAACGTCAACTACGTAGTAAGAGCTCGGTCTCATGATTAAAATATCACAAGTGTGTTTTCCATTGCATAATTGATTATATTCAGCAGAATATTTCTTATTTCCATGCCATCAATCCTTAAATGATGTTTCGCATGTCAAATTTCATGTCCAAATGGTTTGCATCTTCACTCCACAGTCGCAACCAAACACAATTGAGCAAAGTTTCAACAGGGATATAATTTGATACTCAATATTAAGCAAACGCAGGATAAACAGACAGCAATTAAGAGAGAACTAATATATTAAGACATTCAATAATCGTCAAAGTACCCGCCGCTCTAGAATACATAGACACTATACATTTCTCTAAATCTAATTCTATCCTGCAAAACTGTTTTTTAATAACTGTGGTGCCCAGGCCAGTTAGAGCACACCTCGACTAATTCTACAGGATACCTGCTACCTCCCACCAGCAACTAGTACTAGATAACTCTATCCACCACCAAGGGTTGGATCGATGGGAAGAAATCATATCGTATTTTTTGTCTCCGCTGGAATTGAACCTGAGTTGTCATGGTTCTAACCCACTTCATTGACCATTAAGCCACACCCTTGCAAAAAAAAGAAGAAAAAAAAAAAGCACACGATCCTACTAAATTGTTACCGGTAGAATTCAAAAGAATTCGAGAGTGCCAGTTATAGTGACCGGTGGATTTATATCAATTCGAGTAGCCTTCCCTTGTGAAAGTAATTGTGGCAGTGTATTGGTTTCTCTGGCAGCAACTCCTTCGCGGGTCCATACTGTGACATGAGGCCATTGGTTTTCGGAATTGACCTTTTCACCTTCAACGGAGCCAGGCTCAGCTTCTAGTGCAGCTAGTTTTTCGGAGAACAACAAAGCAACCAACTCGACCGGCACCTTTTGGTCAAGAAAGGAAGCGTATAGGGCAACTGCAGTGACACCGTGATTTCTCTTGTGAGCCAAGGTCAAATGGGCCTTCTGAATGCAGCTCTCTAAGCTTTTGTCCTTCAAGAAAGCACCAACTTTCGAATCTTTCTGGGCTAGCTGTCCACAAAATAATGACAAGCATGAGATAACATAGTTGGGTCCTTTATGCGAATACTTTATTCATATGAAGGACTTTTATAACTTGTTTGGCCAAGCTTTTAAAATCTGCTTATTTTGAGAAGTGTTTTTTTCAAAAGTGCTTTTCAAAAAAGTACTTTTGGTGAGAATCGGTTTGTGTTTGGCTAATTATATTGAAAAGGACTTTTGAGCAGTAATTAGTGTTTGGCCAAGTTTTTGAAAACTGCTTCTAAGTGTATTTTTCTCAAAAGTGCTTCTCAGAAAAGTGCTTTTGGAGAAAAACTACATTTTTCTGCTTCTCAAAATCTGCTTCTGCTTCTCCTCAAAAATACTTTTTTTTCCTTCTAAAAGCTTGGCCAAACACCTCAATTTTTGGCCAAAAGCACTTTTGGCCAAAAAGAAGTACTTTTGGCCCCCAAAAAAATCTTGGCCAAACAGGCTATTAAACGAAATGCAGAAATTTCAGATGAGATAGGAAATCACTAAGATTGAGAGGACAATAGAGCGGAAGCAGAATATTTGCTTTTCTCGGATAAAGAGATTATTAATTGAACGAAACAGAAGGCAACAATCAGATAAACAAGAAAGACTATCATTCTCTTCAACCTGCCAAGAAAACAATTTAGCCACAAGGAATAATATATTGTTTTGTGCACAAACCCTTAAGTATGATAAGAGCATAGACCACTAACTACAACTAGCAAGATAAAAAATTTCCAGCCATCAAAGACTCCATAAGTGCAACTTATAAGTTTGCAAATTTACTTACATCATTCAGAAGACCTAGAACTTCTGGAACTGGCAGGCTGACAGCAGCAAACACAATAGATCCTAGCTTCCTCTTCTCAGAGGTAGGTGCTGCATACTCGCCCCTTGCAATAGCTCTAAGTTGTTCCAAGACTTCTTTAACAGCAAATTCAAATGGAACCTGAAATAGAAGTTTGCAGAATCACTAGCCAAATATTTTCCTACCAAAATGTGGCCAATTTCTTTCGAACTGTCACTACTCTTCTGTGCCTTGGGGTTC